AATCAATCCCAATGTCTAATTATCAGACATAATGTTGAAATCACTGGTGTATTTGTATCTAATATGCACTATATTGCCAAAAGTATTGGGACATTGCCTTTACACGCAGATGAACTTTAATGGCATCCCAGTCTTAGTCCGTAGGGTTCAATATTGAGTTGGCCCACCCTTTGCAACTGTAACAGCTTCAGCTCTTCTGGGAAGCTGTCCACAAGGTTTAGGAGTGTGTCCATGGGAATGTAAGACTATTCTTCTAGAAGCACATTTGTGAGGTCAGGCACTTATATCGGACGTGAAGGCCTGGCTTGCAGACTCCACTCATTCATTCATTCCAGAGGTGTTCTATTGGGTCGAGCTTATGACTCTCTGCAGGCCAGTCAAGTTCCTCCACCCCAAACTCGCTCATCCATGTGTTTATGGACCTTGCTTTGTGTACTGGTGCACAATCATGTTGGTACAGGAAGGGAGCATTCCCAAACTGTTCCCACAAAGTTGGGAGCATGAAATTGTCCAAAATGTTTTGGTATGATGACGCATTGAGTTCCCTTCACTGGAACTAAGGGGCCAAGCCCAACCCATAAAAAAAAACAACTCCACACCATAATCCCGTCTCCACCAAACTTTACACTTGGCACAATGCAGTTAGGCAAGTACCATTCTCCCTTGCAACTGCCAAACCCAGACACGTCCATCGGACTGCCAGATCGAGAAGTGTGATTCGTCACTCCAGAGAAAATGTCTCCATTGCTCTAGAGTCCAGTGGCGATGTGCTTTACATCACTGCATCTAACACTTTCCATTGCACTTGATGATGTAAGGCTTGGATGTAGCTGCTCGGCCATGGAAACCCATTCCATGAAGCTCTCTACACACTGTTGTGCTAATCTGAAGGCCACACAAAGTTTAGAGGTCTTTAGCTATTGACTCTGCAGACAGCTGGCGACTTCTGCACACTGTGTGCTTCAGCATGCGCTGACCTCGCTCTGTCATTTTACGTGGCCTAGCACTTTGAGTTGCTGTTGTTCCCAGTTGCTTCCACTTTGTTATAATACCACTAACAGTTGACTGCGGAATATTTAGTACATAGTTACATAGTTAGTCTGGCTGAAAAAAGACAAAAGTCCATCCAGTTCAACCATTAAAAAAAAAAAAAAAAGTTATACTCCTATACCCACAGTTGATCCAGAGGAAGGCAAAAAAAAAACACAGCAAAGCATGATCCAATTTTCTCCTGCAGGGGAAAAAAATTCTTTCCTGTTCCCCGGAGAGGTAATCGGATATTAGCAAGGAATTTCACAGATGGACTTATTGCACAGGTGGCAACTTATCACGGTACCACGCTTGAATTCACTGAGATCCTGAGAGCGACCCCTTCTTTCACAAATGTTTGTGGAAGCAGTCTGCATGCCTAGGTGCTTGATTTTATACATCTGTGGTCATGGAGGTGATTGGAACACCTGAATCCAATGATTTTGAAGGGTGCCCCAATACTTTTGGCAATATAGTGTATCTGCCATAATTTGACTCATTATATCTACTAGTAGTACTCCTTATTATACCCAAGCATGCAATATCTTAAGGTTAGTCAATGCAGATCTTCACAGATTAAAGCCCAATTGAAATGTCTCCTACATGCTATGATTTGTGACCAATTTTTGCTTGGTGTGCCAAATACTTTTTACTGACAGTGAAAACGCTGTTTCCTACTTTCCCACTCCAACGCTCTATGTGGACAGAGCTAAGAAACAGTTACACCCTAATCACAAGTGTCCTAACAGACTTACAGTTGTGTCCAAAATTATTCAACCCCCAATGCTGTAAAGGGGTTTAGGGACTATAGTGTACATTTGGAATTGTATTCAGAATCAAATCCTACAAGGACGTTGTAACTACCCAAATGCAACTAAAATGACATCAATTGTTTATGTAATACAGTAGTAAATGGTTCTTATGTGGTTTCTTCATTGCCACAATTATTCAACCCCTTAAAGACTACCACTCTGAAGAACAGAGGTTCATACAGGTGCTTTCCATCAGGTATTGAAAACACCTGTGGATGTCACCGAGCAGCAATCAAGCATAATAAGCACCAATTAGGCAGCTTTAAAATGACTGTGATACTCAGCTCCTTCTAGACATTTACTGGTGTGGTTACAAACATGGTGAAGGCAAGAGAATGGTCCAGGAAGACAAGAGAAGAGGTGATTTCTCTTCACAGGAAGGGCAATGGCTATAAGAAGATTGCAAAGATGTTAAACATACCAAGAGACACCTTAGGAAGCATCATTCGCAAATTCAAGGCAAAGGGCACTGTTGAAACGCTACCTGGTCGTGGCAGAAAGAAGATGCTGACTTCGACTGCTGTGCGCTACCTGAAGCGTAGAGTGGAGAGAAGTCCCCGTGTGACTGCTGAGGAACTGAGAAAAGATTTTGTCAGATGTGGGTACAGAAGTTTCAGCCCAGACAATACGACGCACACTGCGTAATGAAGGCCTCCGTGCCAGAACTCCCAGGCGTACCCCCTTGCTGTCTCCAAAGAATAAGAAGAGTCGACTGCAGTATGCCAAAAGCCATGTGGACAAACCACAAAAGTTGTGGGATAGTGTTCTGTGGACTGATGAAACAAAATTAGAACTGTTTGGGCCCATGGATCAACGCTATGTTTGGAGGAGGAAGAACAAGGCCTATGATGAAAAGAACACCTTGCCTACTGTGAAGCATGGTGGAGGGTCAATCATGCTTTGGGGCTGTTTTGCTTCTGCAGGTACAGGGAAGCTTCAGCGTGTGCAAGGTACCATGAATTCTCTTCAGTACCAGGAGATATTGGATGGAAACGTGATGCAGTCCGTCACACACCTGAGGCTTGGGAGACGTTGGACCTTTCAACAGGACAATGATCCCAAGCATACCTCCAAGTCCACTAGAGCATGGTTGCAGAGGAAAGGCTGGAACATTTTGGAGTGGCCATCGCAGTCACCAGACTTAAATCCGATTGAGAACCTCTGGTGGGACTTAAAGAAAGCAGTTGCAGTGCGCAAGCCTAAGAATGTGACTGAACTGGAGGCCTTTGCCCATGAAGAATGGGCGAAGATACCCGTAGATCGCTGCAAGACACTTGTGTCAAGCTATGCTTCACGTTTAAAAGCTGTTATAACTGTAAAAGGATGCTGTACTAAGTACTAAGATTGAATGTCACTTGGGGGTTGAATAAAACTGATAATGCTGTGAGCACAGAAAAGACATTTGTGGTTATTTCATTATAACTGTTATGTTATATTTGTCTGACCTACAAGTGCCTCTTTAATGTAAATGTAAGCAAGATGACTGAATGATCAAAAGCAATGTCAAACTGGCCAAAACACTCAATTTCAGTGGGGGTTGAATAATTTTGGACACAACTGTATATTGCAAAAGAATAGAGTGATGTGTGTCAGACCAGGTATGTTACTACGTGCTGAGCATTGGGTCTACCTTTGCGACCTATTGGACTGCACAGTCATATTTAGACACCCTGCACAACTGCAATAACAGAAAACTGGAGGTAAGACTATTAAAACTGAGGTTGTTTGTACAATGTGTAACTGCATATATACGTTCGTGACTCATGTTTGGCTTTAAAGTAGAGAGAAACTACACGCAGTGTATATACAGTAGAACTTAATAGTCAATCATGGAATGCTTAACCATTTGTGGGCAGTACACAAACCCCCTTTCCAGGTTAAGAAATACTAAGAGGCATTCTTACCACAACCTAGTCTCATAGACTTCTCTCCACCGGTACCTCCACCTAGCCTCTATTTATTTGGAACCAAGCATTTTGTAATCTCTTGTTAAAACAAATCTAAATTAAATTAATTAACGTTAAGAGCTTGCATGCATTGAGGCAAAAGAGAAAACTTGGTCATTTTCCTGCTGGTTATTGAGTTTTCATTGGCACTAGGTTTGGGATAAACCATATTGAAATTCAAACAAGTTCAAATGTAGGCTGCTCTTTTGGTTTAGGTTAACTGCTGTCACTGGTATTTTCAATTTCTCCACAGATTTAGCATTAGGTCCTTTCAACCTTGGTGTGCTTTTGCCATGCTCTTCCAGGGCGTCAAAAACACATAAAAACTATTCCCCATTAAATCTTATGTAACTGTTCACACTGCAGGTTTGCTATGATTTGAAAAGCCCTGCATGCTGCATCTTTGGTGCAGTTTTTAAAAAATGCACCTTCCATTGTAAGTCAATAGGAATGCATCAAAAGCACATTAGTGTGAAAGGGTCCTCAAAGAATGAACTTATAGTGCACCCATTTGCCCTAAAACATGAATAAACCAGGTAAAACTAGATATAGAGGGAGGAAACTTTGCATACAAGATTAAACTGAACTGTTACATAGTTAGTCTGACTGAAAAAAAAGACAAAAGTCCATCCAGTTCAACCATATAAAAAAAAAAAAGTTAAAATCCTACACGCACAGTTGATCCAGAGGAAGGCAAAAAAACCCAGCAAAGCATGATCCAATTTGCTCCTGCAGGGGAAAAAATTAATTCCTGAACCCCTGAGAGGCAATCGGATATTCCCTGAATCAACTTTACCTATAAATAGTAACCAGTTATATTCTGTGTATCCAAGAAAGAATCCAGGCCTTTTTTAAAGCAATCCACTGAGCTGGCCAACTGTGTAAATTGAAAACAAGAAAACTGTCATGCCCACGGCTATGTTTTGTAAAAATAGAAAAAAATTACCCAAAACAAGCAAAAAAAAAAGAAAAAGTTATCAGTATATTTCTTCTCCGCAGAATAATTTTTTTTTTTCTGTTTCAGAAAAATGACTCTGGAAGTTAACATCAGCATAGAAGATCCATGTAACATAGACTCTGAATTTAGATACAAATTCTTTACAGTGACTTACAGCATTATTTTTGTCTTCGGATTTCTTGCCAACGCCTATGTGTTGTGGGTTTTTGCAAAAGTTTATATCCTGCGAAGAGGCTGAGTGACATCAAAATTTTTATGATCAATCTTACAGTGGCCGACCTATTATTCCTAGTGACTTTGCCTTTGTGGATTGCTTACTATAATTATAGAGGCAACTGGGTAATGCCAGATTTTCTCTGCAATGTGGCAGGCTGTTTCTTCTTCATAAATACATATTGCTCTGTAGCCTTTCTAGGAGTCATTAGTTACAACAGATTTCAGGCTGTAACAAAGCCTGTGGAAGTGGCACGATCAACAGCCAGGAAAAAAGGACTCTGTATCTCGGTTTTTGTGTGGATACTTGTATTCGGAAGCTCTTTGTACTTTCTTTTTACACCAGGCACCAACCAGGTACAGGCTAATGATGGACTTAACTACACCCGCTGCTTTGAAGGATACAACATTGACAACAGAGGTCCTGTGGCCATCATCCACTTCATTCTAATTGCTGCTTTCTTTCTTGTGTTTCTCATCATATTCATTTGCAATGTGGTGATTTTTAGGACTTTAACCACTCAGTCAGTGGCGGCCAAACAGAGTGCAGAAATGAAGCGTCGTGCTCTGCACATGGTAGTGACAGTTCTTGGAGTTTTTGTGCTATGTTTTGTCCCGCACCACATTGTGCATGGACCCTGGACCCTCACAGTACTGAGACTGTGGCATGAGAATGACTGTGGCTTTCGACAGGTTCTGAATGATGCACATCAAATCACTTTGTGCCTTATGAGTACCAACTGTATGCTGGACCCTATTATCTATTGCTTTCTCACCAAGAAGTTCCGGAACCACCTCTCTGAACGCATCCGTACTATGAAAAGAAGTCGTAAGTTATCAAGAAATACTACTGACACTAACTTAGAAGGCACATTACCACTCAAAGAAAAGCAAACTAGCACATGTGACCTCTAGTATGAGGAAGCACTATAAAAGGATTTTCTTAATAGCTGAACTGAACATACAATACGTCTGACTTAATATTTGCCCAGGGATATATGGTATATATGGGTTGGCTGCCTAAAAATTTCTGTCTTTTTAGCTGAGCTGCAACACTTGTAATATATGCAAAAACATCAATATGCTAAATTAATCTCTTCAGTGCCTAAAAGTTGCACTACCAGTAATGATTTTGAAAGACAATCCATTTATAGTGTAGTGCCTAGAAAAAAAAATATTGGTTATAACTGGTTAAATATATCTATTTTGGTATTAAAACTGTGTACAGTATCTTGTTAAAAGTATTGCAGTGACCATCCTTCCGTACAGCATTTTTTTTTTGTGTCTTTAGGAGATCAACCACAAGAAATTGAAGAAATGCAAAAATGCAGTACAGATTCCTGAATATTTTATATGATGAGAAGAAGCCATGACATCGGCCTATGTGTTAAATTTATATTTTACACTCACTAGGTAGGATCCTGTATGTTACAGGTCAGCTCCAATAATAACTTTTACATTTAGTTTTAGGTTGTCACTGGTAGGTTGAATCACCAAGTTTCTAATATCTCTCGAAGGGTGGGCCATAACAATACTGTCATGGCATCACTCTCTTGCATTTGAAATGTCCTTTCTACATTATGGAGAATCTATCAAGAGACATTTTCATTTAGTTTTGCAATGACTGCTGCAGAAGGGGGGAAGGAGAAGTTCTTAGTAAAAAAAACAAAACAGCATTTCTGAACTGTATCATCTACCAAAGAATTTGTAATTCTGTTCAACCAACCTTTTCAATTCAGGTGCCCCCTACCAGCCAGCACAGCCAGATTTTGGACCTCCAAAAACTGCACTGTAATTAAGCAGTACAACTAGGTCTAGAACTCACCAAGCCAGTGAATTAAGGACTGGGTCACCCCTGTACTCCATTCCTGCTGTAACCATGTTCATTTGACAGCACTATGCAAAGCAACAAATCCATTACTTGCCCAGAGTGCTGACACATTGGGGGGGATTTACTAAAATTGGTGCACTCAGAATCTGGTGCAGCTGTGCTTGGTAGCCAATCGGCTTTTAAGTTCAGCTTGTTCAATTAAGCTTTGACAATAAAACCTGGAAGCTGATTGGTTTCTTTGCAGAGCTGCACCAGATTTTACACTTTACAGTTTTAGTAAACAACCCCAATTGTCTCTCACTCCTGCTGTGCATAGGATTACAGTTTAATAGTAAGATTGAAGCCCTAATGCTAGCTCTATGTAAAATATATATTTAATGAACATAGTAATTGGTCAGATAATGTTTTACCTACCTATAGTTTAGCCATAAGTGAAGGATTTCAAACTCAGCATGCAAGGGTCTCTTCACACCAGATGTGCTGGCATGTATTGAACAACACATACCAATGCATATACTTTAGGGAAAAAAAGTGTTTTCAATAAGAGCTGCACTGATTATTATTATTATTATACAGGATTTATATAGCGCCAGCAGTTTGCGCAGCGCTTTACAATATAAGGGAGACAGTACAATTACAATACATTTCAGTACAGAAGGAATAGGAGGGTACTGTTCATGGAGATTACAATCTAAAGGAAGGGGGAGGTGATACAAAAGGTGATAGCTGCGGGGATGATCTGGCGGAGGTGATTCAAGTACAGTTCTTAGGTGGCGGTGGGGTAGGCTTCCCTGAAGAAGTGAGTTTTCAAAGATCGCCTAAAGGCAGACAGGGTGGGGGCTGACCGGACATGCTTTGGTAGGGAGTTCCAGAGGATGGGAGAGGCTCTGGAGATGTCCTGGAGGTGAGCATGGGAGGAGGTGATGAGGGAGCTAGAGAGGAGGATATCATGGGATGAGCGGACTGGGCGATTTGGGCGGTATCTGTGGATGAGGTTGGTGATGTAGCTAGGGGCAGTGTTGTGGATGGCTTTGTAAGCTGTGGTTAGTATTTTGAATTTTATATGTTGGGTTAGTGGAAGCCAGTGGAGGGATTGGCAGAGAGGGGCAGCAGTCGCTGATCGGTTGGTAAGGTGTATGAGTCTAGCAGCAGCATTCATAATAAACTGAAGGGGGGATAGCCTGTGTAACGGTAGACCAGTGAGGAGGGAGTTGCAGTAATCGAGGCGGGATATAACCAAGGCGTGGATAAGTTGTTTTGTGGTGTCATTGGTCAGGAAGGGGCGGATTTTGGAAATGTTCCGGAGGTTGAGGCGGCAGGATTTAGCCAGTGAGTGGATGTGGGGCCCAAAGGAGAGGTCAGAGTCTAGGATTACACCTAGCACCCTGGCATGAGGGGAAGGACCAATGGTAGTGCTGTTAATCTTAATGGTAAAGTCATGAGTGGGGGATTGGGGAGGAAGAAATATTACAAGCTCAGTTTTTGAAAGATGGAGTTTAAGGTAGTGATGTGACATCCATGCTGATGTGCGCTGTCCTGCATTGAACAAAGAAAACAGTAGAAAATGACCAACGTTTTGTTTATAATGTAAAAACGCATGTAAGTACACTGCAACAAACATAAACGCAAGGGTGAAAACAGGTAGTTCCTTTACAAATAAAGCTTAGTGAAGTATAAACAAAAACATTTTAAAAAGTATTACAGCGCATTTTGAAATGCGATGCAGCATGCAAATCAATGTCACTACATGTGCATTTACTTGCACTTAACACACACTTTATGGTGTGAATGGACCCTAATAGTATGCTGTCCAGTAAATGTAGCTTAAACGTAAACAGTATGGGGAGATGAAAGATATAAGAATACATACCTGTGAAAATACTCCCATGGAATAAATACATGATGTGAATATTTATAACAATAAACAGCTTTTCTGCTTCCACTTTTCTGCTCCAAGAGCATTTATTGAGTTTTTCAACAATTTACAGGTAATAAAATATAGGAACATATAGATATAGATAGTGTGCAGCTTTTAGGTTATGCTCAAAATACAAATTTCCAGAAGGTGTCAGATGGCTATCATAAAACATAATTATTATTATTATACAGTATTTATAAAGTGCCAACAGTTCGCTCAGCGCTGTACATTACAAAGGGGGACAGAACATGTGACAGTACAATAACAATACAATGTGATACACGGGGGGTTCGAGGGCCCTGCTCTTTCAAGCTTAGAATCTAGGATACAAGTTCTCAGCTTTCACAATGTGCACTAGGGGTAGCTCATCCTGGAACTGGGTGTTAGGAACAGGAATACTTGAGAAGGGTATAGCCTCTGTAGAGGGCAATCGTGGGGGACAGGAAAGAGATGACAACTAGTAAAGACCAGCAGGTGGAATAAAGAGGAAGACAGGATGAGAAAATGGGGAGGTGGGAGCTAGAGAAGGAAAGTGGAGTCAATGTATGTTGGACCTGGATTGCTCCACTTATGTAAAAGACTGTGGGGTTGATTTACTAAAACTGAAGAGTGCAAAATCTGGTGCAGCTCTGCATAGAAACCAATCAGCCTTTAACTTCAGCTTGTTCAATTAAGCTTTGACAATAGGGGTCGGTTCCCACTATAGAAACACAGTCCGGATGCGTTTCTGCATGTGCGCTTATTTCCGGTGCATTTTTGATGTGTTCCGGAGCATTTTTGATGCTTTCCAGTTCATTTATTCCCCTCTCATTTTCTTCAATTTTATAGGGACGTGCATTCCAGTGCGTTTTTGGTGTGTTTTAGTGCATTCCAGTGCGTTCCGGTGCATCTTTGATGCGTTTTACCGCGTTCCAGTACAGTTCTGTGCAGGAAAAATGTAGCCTGTTCTACTTTTTTTTCTGCAACTGGAATGCACTGGAACTGCAAGCACTGTTGTGAACTATAACATTGACAACCATATAAGTTTCTTTCTGCATGCACATTTTTGACAAATTTTTGTCACATTCCAGTGCGTTTTTGATGCTTTCCTGTTCTTTTTTTCCCTCCTTTCTTTTTCTTCAATTTAAAGAGGGACATGTGCGTTCCAGTGCGCTTTTGGTACATTTTGGTGCGTTCCAGTGTGTTTTTGATGGATATTACTGCGTTCCAGTGCAATTCTGTGCAGGAAAAATGTAGCTTGTTCTACTTTTTTTTCTGCAACTGGAACGCACTGCAACTGCAAGCTCTGATGTGAACTATGGCATTGACAACCATATAACCTACTTTCTGTGCATTTTGGATGTAGAAAAAAAGCACACCGAAACACATGTAGTGTGAACTGGCCATAAAACTATGTAGAGCTGCACCAGATTTTGAACTCTCTGGTTTTAGCAAATCAACCCCAAAGTCTTCAGTAAAAGCAGCAGAGTATTGAGCTTCGTAACTAGTATTTATTGTCTATATTATTAGTATACAATGGTAAAAACGTAATAGACATCAACTGCAAGTCTATAAAGTGCAAATTTGGGTAAAACTAATCTTAAGGAGGAACATCACCCTAAAGGGGAAGTTCTGCTTTATGCCTTTCCCCCCTCTGTTTCTGTGATTGGTACATTTTTTTGGGCGGGGGAGTGGGTACTTGCTCCCACCTATGGACGGATCGTCACGGTGATCCATCGAAAAGTCTTCCGCCCCTGTAACACCTGAGACATGTCACAGGTCCCATAAAGCTGTGAGACCATTCTCAAAGTGCAGCACATCTCACACATGTGCAGTTGGCTGTGAAGCCGCAAGGAATAATAGCTGGCTGCCCACAGGAAACATGCTGGTGTCGGGGACTTGAAGACCGGCAAAGAAGTGGTTTGGGTGATGACAGTGCTAAACCCATGGACAGGTAAGTATCCTTCTATTAGAAGTCAGCAGGCACAGTATTTGTAGCTGCTGACATTTGATTTTCTTTTCAAAAAGCTGAAGAGCTGTAAGGCACTAGGCAGCAGCAGCAGCAGCAGCAGCATTTTTCCAAAAGTCTTGAATACCTTTCCTGAAAACTAAGAATAAACACTGCAAAAATATTCTCTTATCTACGTTTTAAAAAATATACGATTGGGGTTATAATAATATACAATT